GCGGCTGTGAGAAACCTTTGCTCTCATGGACCATCCTCGGGAGGTGGCCACAACATCCGCGTTCAAGGTCAAAATTAGGACTCTGAGAAACCCTGGGGAGCCGGTGGGCGCCTGTGTTGTATCATGGGGCATCGTGAAAATGAGAAGCTCACCGGGCCCCACAGAGCCGCGAGGCCCAAGGTCCCAGGAAGTGCGCCCTGGCTTGACTCGGCAAAGCCAGAACCAACAGAGCGGGTGACCCAAGTGACCATCCCGGATGACATCACAGCTCAAGTCTCGCCACATACACCTCTTTACCTGAATTTTGTCCATGGCAATGCAGACACGCTTCTCTTGAATTATCAACCAATGCATGAGATAAATTTGAAAACTTCCAAAAGCAGTAAGCTGACAGTGTTTTGTCCATAAATCTCTAAAAGTTCTCTGTGAGTCCCGTTAGCACTTAAGTCTTTAAAAAACAAACTGCCGGGCAGGGGACGCACTAGCCGTGCTGATCAGGCCTGTGGGGCTTCTGAGAGGGCCGCACTTGGGAGGGTCTTTGCTGCAGCCTCCTTCACAGGACGGCCCCAGGCCCTTCCTGTGACCCCGCTCCACCCCCACCCTGGGCAGCACCACCATGGCCTGTCTTATGGAAGAAGAACAGGCTCCCAAGCAGAAACAAAATAACAGACATAAAATAAAGCAAAAGCCCGGCCAGTGGCTCAGTGACTGAGTGTCGACCTATGAACCAGGAGGTCACGGTTTGATTCCAGGTCAGGGCACCTGCCCGGGTTGTGGGCATACATACAGGAGGCAGCTGACCTATGATTCCCTCTCATCATTGATATTTCTAACTCTCTCTCCCTCGCCCTCCTCTCTGAAATCAATAAAAATATATTTAAAAAAACAAAGAGCATTTTTTACTCATTTTCACTCAAATCTCATGAAACAACATCCTGCCCTCAAAAGATTCAGTGGTGTTTTATTTGTCCCCGCCAACTCTGAAATATGTATTATTTTTTCAATTGTGTAAGCATGACAGGACACACTGATCAAGATTTCAGAAATGCAAATATACTGGAGCGTATGTTAGTAAGTGTGGGGTGAGGGGAGGCGAGGCCGCTGGGTCTGTTTTTCGGAGGGAGTGAGCGTCACGGGGCCTGGCTCTGGCCGGGAGTCTGCGGGGTAGGGGGTGAGGCCAGGGCCCGGGCTGTGGATCTGTCCTGTAATATAGAGATTAAAAAACGAGAAAGGGAAGGGAAGAAAGGAGAGCACACAGCTGCCGTCCCCCAAACAGACCTCCCATCTGCCACCCATGATTTGCATGTCACCTTCTCCGGGCTCATTTGTACTTCATTAACTGCCATTGACTTAACAAGATTTATGCAAATGACACCATAGGAGCTCCCCAACTCCCACTGCAATCAAGTGATTATGTATGTACAACTCTCCACAGCAATGAAAAATTCATACGTGACAGGCCACTTGCCGCCGAGCGGGCCTCTGGCTTTCTCTTTTTCTTGCTTTGCTTTTTAATTTTTATTCCAGTAGACTTATCTTATTAGGAAAGAAAGAAGGCACTCTCTGAACCAAATCTCCTCTAAGGCCTCAGGAAGGACAAAAAAGGGGGAGGTGGGCCCAGGTCCTCAGGAAATGAAGTTATTTTGCAGAAAATAAGTCATATTCTTGATGAGCAGAGCTTCCCCGGGAACAAGGGAGAGAGGAGATCGCTACCTGCCGTGACCTGCTGGCGCCCACCTGGGGAGGAGCCTCCGTCCTCACAGTGAACAGGCTGCGAGGCGTGAGTGATGTAATTCACGGACACAGACCGTCTGTAGGATGAGGCAGGTGGGAGCGTGCTCAAGACGGCCTCGTCTGTGTCCCAACCCATCGGTACAAGGTCCCCGTGGGGAGGAGCACAAAGACGGCCGCAATCACAGACACTGGCCTGCCCCAGCCAGCACCGTGACCAGCCCCATGAAGGTCGCGGAGGTTCCCAACTGGGGGGGGCGGGCGGGAGGGGCGGAAAGGCAGCACGCACAGCAGGGCTGGAGCGAGGGCTGAGTGTGGAGACAAAGCGCGTGCTGCTGGTGAGAAGGACAGGGCACGCCTGTGGCAGCAGCTTCCCAATGGGTGAAAGGCCACTTCCCCCCCACTCCGCCGAGAGCCACGAGCGCCCCTGCGCTGTCCCTGGAGAAACTCGGCCCTGCAGGCGCAGTCTGAGAAGTTTCTCCTACACAAGCACAGGTATTCTGTCCGAGGTCAGGGTCACACGTTACACACGAGGTTGCTTTCTGAAGGCTCCTTGTGAGGCAGTGGAGAGGGTAGAAGAGTCGGGCCCCATCCTGGCCCCATCTTACCCTCCCTGGGCTTAATGTAAAATAAGGAAAACACAGCCACCCAGCATGGCCATGTTTGGAATTCAATGGGATGCTGTATGCAAAGTCCTTCATCCTATATAATAACACCCTAATATGCAAATCGACCAACCAGCGGAAGGACAGGCAGAACGACCGGTCACTATGACACGCATTGAACACCAGGGGGCAGATGCTCAATGCAGGAGCTGCCCCCTGGTGGTCAGTGCGCTCCCACAGGGGGAGTGCCGCTCAGCCAGAAGGCGGGCTCAGGACTGGCGAGTGCAGCGGCAGTGGCGGGAGCTTTTCCTGCCTCTGCTGCAGGCGGGTGGTAAGGAGCAAGGGGGTCCAGGACTGCGAGGGGGGGATCAGGCCTAAGCCGGCAGGCGGACATCCCCCAAGGGGTTCTGTACTGAGAGAGGGCACAGGCTGGGCTGAGGAACCCCCCCCCCTTCCAGTGAATTTCGTTCACCGGGCCTCTAGTAGGATAATAATAAACACTAATTTAATTGTCCTTTATTCAACAAACAGGTCTGTCAGGTGTCTGAACACACTGGTGTCGGCAACGCCCCTCTGGCTCCTTCTTCTCACCTCTCCCTTCCTTTCCGCTAGTTGAAGTCATCCCTCGGTGGGGGAGAGGGGCGGGGGGGGAGGGGGGGGTAGGAAATCAGACTTTCACTAATGATCTCGGCGCCTTTATAAACACAGACACACGAGCACGTGAGATCAATCTAAACAACCGTCCACACACCCACACCACCCGGGGGCCACAGAGAGGCGCTGGCAGGTGTCGAGCATGAGGCTGCGAAGACCAGACTTGCTGAATTCAAACATTCTCTCGGCAATCTCCACATGCCAGTGTTTCAAGGGCCTTGGATCTGGCCCGGTGCCCCATGTCACAGATGCGGCCCCTGCGGCTGGACGTCCTACCAGGTGTGGGTTTCCAGGACGGGCTTGCCCGTGGACACAGCACTGGGGGGCGGGGAGCGGGGGTGCGCAAGGAACAAGGAGCCCTGTGCACGACTCGCCGGGAATGCAGCCCTGATTTAGACGTCCACCAGGTTGTTATAAACATTCCCAATTAAAAGGCTTCCAAGGACTGGCTCAGTTTACACTTGAGGGTCGATGTCCTTCCTCACACAGACTGGACTCCGAGCCTCCGAGGAGGAGCAGGTCCCCCCTGAGTGACCCAGGGACCCAGGACCTACTGGCCTGAGCAGCCGCCCTCGTCGGCAGCAGACGTGAATGAAGGAAACAGTCTAGTATTAAGTTCTAATGTCCCCAGACCAATTACTAAGTGAGAGTAAAAGAGCAAAAGCTTTTTAAAATTCTCGTTAAAACAGTATCAACAGCATAAAATCACACATTACCATTACGTCATGCAGAGAGCTGGGTTTATAAATGAGCACACAGAGAAAGAATGAGTGTGCGTGGACCTCCCCAGGGAGGGAACCGCGAGAGGGAACACACCCACCAGCAATGGGGCCCCGTGCCAGTCCACACCGTTGTCGCCCAGGCTCTGAACGTGTCTTGTGAGGAACCCTGCAGCCTCCCTGCTCTGCTCCCCCCACAACACGGTGCTAACCCCCCTCCCCCCACCTAACCTGCTCCTCGCCCATAGCAGCTACGGCTACATTCCTGAAAGGTTCGGGCCCTTCAAGGGTGGCCAGTGCCAACACAGGTTCCTATAGCTGTGGAGAGCCGCCAAGGTGCGAGCAGAAGGGGATGGCGGAGAACGGCCGCCCAGAGGGTCATTGTGGTCACGGCAAAGTCCATGAGAGGCAGAGCCGACATCCTGCCCACGGGTTTTCCCTTGTTCAGGCAGAATGCACTAAAAACCAACTGGCCTTCTTTCACCAACTAAAAGATGGCATTTCCAGAAGCCACAGTGCCGAGTTAAACTCTTCATTTTCCTTGGAAATATAGCAGCAGAAGATGTCATGTGAAGGCCCGTTGTACTTGCGACATAAAGCAATTTGGTGTCTGGTTTCTGGGCTAATGAAAACCTACCCAGGCTAGCAATCTGGGCCAAAACAAATGCTCGCATTCAGTCCCCCTGTGTAATGAGGAAGTTTAATTAAGGCCCCCCATTACAGCTGTAAATGTTCCTTTATATAATAAGGTCTAAATGAAACCGAACCTAATCAAAGTTACAATTCCTTCATTAGCAAATTACAAACAAGAGCGCACAGCTGACACACCGGCTATGATTATCGCAACTAATTGCCTCGTTGTTACAAACTAGCCTGAAACGGTGTTCAGATGTCCGTCTGCGAGAGCAAATGAGGGCCACGCCGGGCTATTCCCGGGCTCACAAGGGGCTCTTGTGCGGAGATCTGATTTACCCCCGTCGGCCGGCGGCCGGCGGCCCAATCAAAGCCCAGCTACAAAGGCGGCCTTTGAAGCCAGCTCAGCCCGGGACGCGCTCCATATGCAGGCGGGCAGACCGCACTTCATTAGGTCTGTTGTCACATTTTCCCTCTTCTTATTCTAATGATCCCATTTTAATACACACAGGAACCTCTTCTAATTGATGTCAAGTGAGTGACTTCCACATTCATCAACAGAGCACATCAAACAAACCTCGGCGCGCGCGCCAGCGTCACAGCCAGGAGAGACGTGGTGTGTCTCAGCGGCAGGGAAGGAAGGAGGGCAGCGGCGTACCTGTTTAATTGGGATGGCTCGGCCGCTCCCGATGCTGTCCGCGCGACTCTCCAGGCCTTTCTTCTCTTTGTCCGGGTCACTCCCTTTCCGAGACTGCAAAACGAAAATAAAGTTAGCATTTGGCCGGGGCTGCGGCTCACAGATGGCGCCAGGTCTGCCCAGACTTGCGCACTTTCTGCAAACATGTATTTGGAGGCCAGGAGGGGGTATGTGTACAGACATCCGCACGCGCACCACAGAAGCAGGCTGTGGATTCTTTCGTCTCCACGGGTGCGTCCTCTCACAGAGAATTTTCTAAACTTTTCCCCTGCAAAATTATCTTTTAATTCTTTTTTAAAGAGTTCAAAATTCAATTACTAGAAACCAATGGACCATATAGAAAAGTAACGCCCAACAGGAAAACACATTCCGAAGCTGCCGCTAATCCAGCCGGGGAGACAAGGGCTCCTGGCTGCTTGTTGGGGAACCCTGCGACATAAACGCACACATTTAATTAACGTTGGAAGCATTAAAAAAATTCTATTAACGGCTCAGCTGTGCAATGTGATGGTACACGCTCGATTCGTATCGAGGTGTCGTTAATGCTTTTATTGCCTCCGCATGGTGAGGAAACAGCAAATTCAAAGTCAAACTCGTGTATACTCCCCTCCCCCCTCAAAAAAATATAACAAGTGGGAAGAAAAAGTTGAAATATCTTTTCTGACAAGACGTCTGTATTTGGGGGGAAATGAGCAGCTTGGTTTGCCGAGCTCCTGGGACAGTTTCCCCGCCGTGTTGCTGACGCTACGTTAACAGCCCGGGAGCTGGCGACCAGTGGGAGGGTGGCGGTGCCCCATCCGGGAGCCACACCTGAAGTGGCTGGGACCTGGGGATGTTGGGGACCGTCTCAGCTACGTCTCCAGCTCTCGGCCGCACGGGGAAGTCGGAGCGCAATGGCTTCCTGACAGATTTATTTCATTATGAGAGAAAGATCTGAGACTCGTCCTCCTTAATAACTGTGCTGACAAGTGACAACTTCACTCCATTACTTTTCAATGGGAACATTACTCACGCAATATTGAAAATGGAGAAACATTTTCGTGTGCTTTTCAAATCTGAGATGATGTATGAAATGAGCAGGCTCGGTGGTGACCGGTGCTGCCGTGGCAAGGGAATGACACCCACTTTCAAAGGGGTGTGGGGTGGGCACTGATTCTGCGTTAGGGGTGCCGCCATGGGATGTAGGGAGAAGGTTCCCTGATGTAAGCTCAGAGGTGGGGCTCCCACGGGCACAGGTGCTCATGAGAAATCGTGCTTCCCGGCGACCACTCAGGGAACACCTACGTGCCAGGCGCTGCGCACTGGTTTACCTGGGACAGTCAAAGCCCGGAATGACAGAAGAGGAAATGAAACAAGCAACACATAGAAAGTTGCAGGAGGACCTAAAACTGAAGGCTTATCCCTGTGGGCAAGAAGGGAAACAGAGCCATTTATCAATTCCTTGCCATGAATTTTAGCTAGGGGTTAGGGCAGGGGTGGGCAAACTTTTTGACTCGAGGGCCACAATGGGTTCTTAAACTGGACCGAAGGGCCGGAACAAAAGCATGGATGGAGTGTTTGTGTGAACTAATATAAATTCAAAGTAAACATCATTACATAAAAGGCTATGGTCTTTTTTTTTTTTAGTTTTATTCATTTCAAACGGGCCGGATCCGGCCCACGGCTGGGTTAGGGACTCACTTTTCTCTAATTAATAATGTGTGGTAAGAGCTATGCAATAATCCTAAATTCTCTTCTTCCCAAATCTCAATTCACGGGAAAGCTGGAACTCGAGGTTTCCTGTTATAAAATAAGACTCAATACTCACAGGGCTAATTTTTTAAAAATTGAAATCAACAGAGATCATTAAAGGTACTTTTGGAAGTTTATAAATTTGGAAATCCATCTTCATTACTCACTATTAACCAGAATGATTAACAAAACAAACATGAAAACATTAACGTCTCCCTCGAGGCAGCACATCTGCCCCAGTCGCTGGGAGCAGGACGCTCAGGTTCCAGGGGAGGCAGGACTGAGGAGATAAACTCCATCCGTGTTTGATCACACTCTCCAGGATGCATGAGAGTGAAGCACAGCCCGTACAAGCGGAAATTAAATTCCCCAACAGCTAACATTTTGGTGAGAGCCCTAAAACTAACATTTCCAGGAGAGAGCGGTGGCTAGCGGTCAGGCAGAGGGTCTGCTGAATCTCAGCCCATGATTACGTTTGCTACAGCACGCTGAGCACAGTCCGACCACTAAACTAACACAGACCCGCTGGACAGAAACACTGCCACACACACACATCCCCAGGACGCTCCCCAGCTTTGCCGCCAACTCGGAGACGACAGCCCCAGGAGCACAGCTGCGTTCCCGCTGAAATGGCTCCGTGAAATCGTCAGCTACGCGGCAGCGCTGGTCCCCACCGCCTGTGCTGGGAGTGACTGCGGTGCGTCTGCTTGACACGCACAACTAGAAACCTAACAAGAGTTTGTGCACCCACCACGGAAGGCCGGCAACACGCCCAGAGTGACTGCTTAGCCTGGGCAGACACCGAACACATCGGGAAGAGAGGTGGCAACGAGCTCATTATCACCTCCCTCTCTACAGAAATGATCAACTTTCTCCCGTGGGATGGAAGAAGCCAGGACGCGAAAACCCCATCAACCGCCTGCCACAGGAGCTCCGCGGCAGAGCCCTCATGCCCAACAGAAACCTCCTCCCCCTCGAGCCCAACGAGTGGGACTCTGCGGTGGCCATCCACACCATCCTTCTTACACGACCAGCTTTGCTGCCTTATTTTTACGGTGAGTTTCTATGAGGCGGGCAGCGTGTACTCACAATCTTTGGTCACGGGGCATTCGGGGCTCTGTGTAACGGTGTTGGCATGATACAGGAAGCTTTTAAAAATACCATGTAAGCCACACCGTTTTCCAAAGCTCGAAGAGAGGCAAAGCCATGCCATGTACAATTACAGACACAGTAAAGTAAGAAGAAAGCATGCACACAGACAGTAAACACCCAGTTCAGGCGGGCTGCTCCCCAGACAGGGAGGCGGGGGGGGGGGGGGGGGGGGAGGAGACTGTGACTTTCCCCCGCGACTTGCTCACTTCCCGCAGCAGCAGCTTGCACTGGAGGAGCGCACAGCACGGTGCGTGTGTCTGTGAGCTTTCCGTTCCTATATGCCTGAACGTACTTGCAAATAAAGCATCTCACCCACACACAAGTCAGGGCTACTAAGCTACCCTAATTGTACGAAGAACCCCTAATACAGAACCAGGAATTGAACGGCTATAGCCTTTTAACCGTTCTTTTCCCAAACAATAATTTTTTAAAAAAGTTAAGCAAAATAATATATAATTTAGCTTTTGATTAGTAAAGTACAATTCCTACCGCAAGTAAAACACATAATCTCCTGCCACAGCAGAGGAGTTTAGTTTCTGCTATTTTGTAAAAAGTGCATGTGATTTATTTTTGTGTGAAATTGTGCATATACGCAAACAGAAACATCTAGCCCAGCGTGATGCATTACAGGCCCACGCTGTCAAATTTATAAGCTCGGTGTCTGTGGAATGATGTTTGCACCACTTCATTCCCTCGGCCTCTTTCCAGCGCTCTAATAAAGGTGGACAGTGCCCCTTCGCCTGGGAACTGCAATCCCAGCCTGCACGGTTTTTTGCTAAGAGTGTTCAGCATATGGCACCTCCGTTCTACTACACACTGTCATATAAACACTTTTATTTTGGTGGGGGGGCAATTGAGGCCAATAATTACCAACAATTACCAGGGAAGAAGAGTCTCTGAGATTCCACATGTTTATGAACAGGTGTAAACTGGTAACAATGAGTTTAGTTGCTTCACTGCTGCAATTTCAAAATAGTATGCCTCCTTTTCATTCCTTGGGTGACACTGACATCTAGTGGAGTTAATATTTCTAAGATCTTCAACTTAAAAATACGAACACATCGCTGTCACCATCACCACCATCGCCATCGCTCTGTCCAACGTCAAACCCAGGATTCCAGCTGTTTCCTTAAATGCCATGAGGCAAAGCCATCGCAGCTCCTTTCTGACCCTCACCTCCTGTGCCTGCGAACCACTCCGTGCGGCTGTGTTCTGTGTCTGATGGTCACAAGCAAACTGCTTTCCAGCATTTAGCGAGGAAGAGAACAGCGATGACAAAGCACAGCTCCAGGGCCAGACCTTTGCATTATGAGACTTTCCCTGGGACCTAATGAAGGGAGACTTCCAGGCAAGGTAAGCAGTTTTTATTGGCTCTGGCACCTGGGGCACCTGGCCCGTCCAGGGTGCCTGTGTGCAGGGCCCACACGTGTGCAGTGTGTCCATGGACTCTCCCGGAGGCCCCCTCCCCCGCCTTCTCTCTAAACCACTTTCTCTCGAATGTGGGCAGACTCTGCAGACCCCAGGCTCCAGCAGGCTCTGCCAACAGCACAGGGAAAGGAAACATTCATTTATTGAGGTACTATTATTAACTTTTCATTCACTGAGTTACTATTACCTTCCTGCCTCCAGGTTTTCTCTTTGGTCCTTCTCCGTGGGCAGGGTCCGGGATACGACGTTTGGGACATTCCAGGGCCACCCTTAACCTGTGGGGACGGGGCTGCTGGAGCTCTCCTTCCACAGCCCAGTTTTCAAAGATACTGCCCAGCTCCTCATCTTTCTGAGAACAGAAACCAAAGCCAGCGGCCAGTAAACGCAGTCCCTGGACACTCTCCTGAGCTGGGAGGACGGCCTCTCCTCCAGCCCTGCCTCACAGGAGGGCAGAAGTGCAGAAGGCGCTCTGGTCCACGCCCAAAGCCCACCCTCTATGCATCTTCAGCAGGTGAGGTTCCTCAAGTCCACCGAGCCAAGAGCGAGGCACAGCCTGTTCTGTAAGGCGGCTCCTTCTCAGCCCCAAGTCCCTGACCTGGTGTCCGCAAGTGCTGCGAGTGCAGGACAGAGCCGGGAGGGCGGCCCGCCGCCCGTCACGCGCGGTGTGTCTGAGGTTCACGGTGAAACAGCTTCCTCACGCACTCACAGTGACACGTGTCAGTCACCTGTTTTTCGCAGACACCTAGCCACCCCTCTCCTCACCTGTCCCACAACCACCTCTGCTTTCCACTCTCAGAAGTCACTTCATGATGTCAGTGGCATGAGAAAAAAGTAAAGGCAATGCCCAAAGACTGCATCTTCCCAGCAGACCCACCACACACAACTACTGCTGTTTCCAGCTCAGAGAGGTTAAGTAACCTGCCCAAGGTCAAACTGCTGCTGGCAGTGGAGGCTGGCATCCGAGCCCGCTCTGTCGGGTCCGCTCTGTCCCTCCCGCAGCAGCGTCTGTCAGAACTCTCGTGGCACAGGGCACAGGAATGAAAAGGTGTGAGCTGCCAGCAACGGACTGGGGCAGTAACCACCGTCCAGTGGGAAAAGCACTGCCCACATGGGGGGGGGGGGTCACACATCAATGCCCCTCCACACAGGCCCGCAGGTCAGACGACAGGCCCCCGGCCACCCCAGGGGAGTCCTCCTTGATTTCGAGACCGGGAAGACTGCACATTGAGCTTCTCTGCATCCAATCACCAGTGACCAAGCAAAGGAGGTCCAACTGTTAAACAGGGCACCGTGGGCACCAGAGCCGGCCCCTTGGCTGTGGGCGGGCCTGCGAGCGGAGGGCGTTCGGCCACATCCTGGTCGCCACGACGCCCATGAGCAGCTGCCTGCAGCGCGGAACCCTGTCCCAGCCCCCATGTGGTGACAACTCAAAATTTCCCCAGGAATTTCCAAATGTCCCCGGGAGCAAAGCCACTGGCTGGGAAGCATGGTGGGTAAGCACATGTAACGCATGCACGGACCCAGTCCCGGAGGGACCGTCCCTCGGAGCCCTGACGGATGGGTGCCGTCGCTGGGCGTGTGGAGGGACAGGCAGGCAGCACTTCTGCAGTGAGGGGTTCTCTGCGCCCCAACCACCCAGGAGCTTCTGAAAGCTACACAAGCACAGAGTCCGTCTTCCGAGGCCTCGGCGCCAGAGCTGAGCTACCGTTTTTAAAGGCTCCACAAGGACCTGAGGAAAGGCCCAGGTGGACAGCCTCGTGGCCACCAGCCTCCGACCCGGGAGAGGCGAGTCCCCGGCCACCCCAGGCCGAGGAGGGGTCGGTGGGCTGGTGTGGCTTTTCTATCTCACCAGAAAGGCCAGGCACACACATCTGGGGACTTGGGCAGTTTTATCATCGCTCTAATCCCAATGTGACCAGTCTCTAGCTAGAGACCAAGAGAGTCACAGGATCATAGATAATCTTTGTACAAACCCCTCACTCTTTTTTTAAATATTCTTACTAATTTTAGAGAGACGGAAAGGGAGGGGAGAGAGGAAGGATGGGAAGGAGGGAGAGAAAAGATAGAAAGAGAAAGAGAGAGAGAGAGAGAGAGAGAGGCAGACCTCACGCCCTGACTGGGGATTGAACCTGTAACCGTGTCTGGGACGACGCTCCAACCAACTGAGCCACACCAGCCAGGGTTCTCACCCTTCATTTTTGACACATGGATCAGAACTACCTGTACACCAAGAAATTCCCATTTTGCTTACTATCTAAATCTTTGCATCCCATAATTTTCTCAGACTTCCATGGAAATCAATGTTAGTTTCATTACTTTAGTTTGGATTCCACAAATATCACTGAACCATCTGGTGGGCAGATGACTACTAGTGGGAAATCTCTGAAATCACACTCACGGTGAAAAGGTTGGACCGGCGCTTGGACTGCTTCCGGACGGGCGTCGGGGTGTTGGCAGTGGGAGGGACATCGATCCGCAGCTCCTTCTGGCTTGTGCTGGGGGTCGATGGGACGGAGGAGGAATAGTCGCTCAAACTCCCGCCTCCGTTACTTGTCTGCAATGATTCAAAACCAACGTTTGGTTAAGGACACACTCCAGGAACCGAATGCCACCTCCCGTGTGGGGTCATAACGAACAAGTCAGCGAGTCACCCCGGAGAGACGCCCGCGCCAGGCTGGGAGCTCCTCGCTGTGCAGCCGGTGTCGGCATCAGGCACACGCTGTTTCCTTCCGGAACACACCTGCCCTTTCCGGAGTCCTTCGTCTAAGAAGTGACTTAAGAAAAACAAGCCTCTATCACTTAAGTTTTAAAAATTTGAAAGTGAAATGTAGTCACTTTCTCTTCCCGCTGAAAAGAAAGGCGCTGGTTGGACTCCGTGGGGCCTGTGGTTACTTCACTGCTCTAGGCTCCACGCAGGAAGCACTGTTTTGCCCACCACTCACAGTTTGAAAATGCCATCTGGAAAATGTGACACCTTTAGGGAGGTATTTCAAGATTCATAGGAAACAAAAGCTGCCTACAGGGAGGCGTGACCATTCGCGATAGAACCTCTACAGGCCTCGACTGTAGATGCGGCCACTGACCGACTCCCCACGAAACTGGAAGCCTTCTCACTGCATCCTTTTACCAGGTGCCCGTGTGGCTAACACCTGTCCAGGAAATGTCAATCAAAACCGCTAGTGCAAGAAAAACAAGCCACGTTCCCTTAAGGGGTTTTGGTTAGGTTCTTCATAGTGACAATCATTTCATTTACTTCTGAGTAAATAACTGAGCAAATGTTGCTATGGAAAGATCGTTTCTACAGGGCCTCAGGGACATGGGAATTGTAACTGAGGGCTGCTACCCAACCTAGGTGCACAGGGAGATGCGCTGCTGACATCCATCCACAACTGTCCCACCTGCAGGCAGATGGAAGGAGGGCCAACACGGGGTCCTTAAGAAAATGTTTTAATGGATTGATTTGAGGGGGAGGGGGGGGCGGGGGAGAGAAAGAGAAAGAGAGAGAGAGAGAGAGAGAGAGAGAGAGAGAGAGAGAGAGAGAGAGAGATTATTCCACTTATTTATTCACTGGTTAATTCTTGTATGTGTCCTGAGCAGGAATTGAACCTGCAACCTTGGCGTACTGGGGCAATGCTCTAACCAACTAAGCTACCCAACCAGGGCCAACACAGGGTAATTTAAATCAACAGCAAAGACAGCGAGCACAGCCCCCTCTCTCTCTGGGCCAGCTCGTCTCAGCACACTGGCTGTGATGGGAAATGTTCAAGAACACGTCCCATAAAAACCACTTGGCCCCAGCAGTTTCCGAGGGAAGTGTTAAGCCAATTACCAACTTGCTGTTATTCAGAAAGTTGGAAAGAAAAAGAAAATCCACCTACGGCTGGTGGACGACCCTGTGGACAGGCACGGTCTCCTGGGCTCAGGCGTGCCTTTGGGCCCAACCTCTCGTGCGCCCCACGTACCTGGCTGATGTGCACGGCGGACACCTGGGCGGAGCAGACGGAGGAGTGGCTCGGTGAGTTGGGGAGCGACTTGCAGGGCCCTATGGACAGCTGCTGCTTCTTCCTTGTGGCGACAATCTTCTGGGCAACTAGTGGGCAGGGAGACAAGAGAAGTCCACGTGAGGCTGGTTTCCAAAGGCAGAGAATGTGATGGGGACCGGAGCCCGTCCCTGTAACCCACTATCCCTGCAGCAATGGGATTCCTGATTGTTAGTAGGTGCATAACATGGACGCGACATTTCCGGAGCCTCCTCCTTCCCCAGCACCCCAGCTGAACGTGGTCCTGCACATAAGTTCCGACAACAGAAGGGGCATGTGGCCGTGCCCAGGAATCTTTCTTGGGAGAGCTGCCCCTGGTCCATGCCTTCCCTGTGTCTTTCCTTCCCACTGCTTAAAAAGCACATGTTGGCTGTGGTCCTGGGGGCCCCCTTGGGGACAAAAGCCACACCTGTGGCGTGTGAGACAGGAGGAGCCCTCACAGACCACCTCAGAAACCTGAGTGTAAAACAGAAAAACACACTCCTATCTTGTTTAAGTTATTCTAATAATTAGATTCCTCCCCACCCTTAGTTACTTGTGGCAAAAATAATCCTAAATAAGACAGGTTAATGTAACCAAATCTTGAAAAATAAAAAATCTGTTTGTTTTTTTGCATAGCCCAAAGAATCACTCAACTTTACAAGCTGTCTCACAGAATTGTATTCAAGGACATGTAATGATATCAAAGACTTTTTTTATTTAAATATATTGCTACACACATCGGAAGTTAATCTTAATCAATACGAATCTAAATTCAACCAGCCATAACTTGTCCCAGCAAATAGGCTCGCTGATAAAGCATATTGGATTTAATTGGAAAGGAAGTCAACGATTAGAAAGCTCTTCCTACACCCATAGGTGTCACTGCAGGAGAGTAACTGCAGCTTTTATTTGAATAGATGTGTGTCTTTGGGGACGAGCTGTAATTACGTTCAATGATATTCAATCCTTGTGTTTGCCCAGAGAGTTGCTCTTTTTTTGCGGACACCCATGCACAGGAGCGCCCAGCAAAAGGTTACAACACAGAAGGGAGCGCATGGCATCCGCAGGCCATTTCTCCTCCAAATGAACACAATTGTAATAAGGAACCAGTTTGTCCGGAGCTGATGGCCTCCATGTAAATGAATGATAGTATAAATATGATTAAGTGAAAACGCAGTATGTAAAAAATGGCTCCCAGAGATGAGAGCCAGCCTCATTAGGTACAGCCCACCTCCAATAGGCCTCTTATCATCCTGAAAGGATCATATCAATTAATTTATCTTCCCGTAGTGTATTGATCATAACCTTCATCAGCTAATCATGTTTAAATTACAGAGGAACAGTGCGGCACTCTGTCATTTCAAAACCATCGGCGTATCGATCTGGGGTCTTTGAAGACGTGTATTAGAGGATTTTATAAATCATTATGTGAACTCAAAAATAAAATTTAAGATCAGATTCCAACAGCTGCAACACATGTGTCGTGCCAGTGAGCTGAAATCCCAGAGACCAGGAGAAAATTAAGTTAAAATCATGACTGTTTGGGGGATTGCCCATTTACTTCTTTTTGGAGGAGGGAGGAGAGCAAAAGGGGGTTTCTGATTATCAACTCGAATGCATGTTATTTTACTGCAGTTGGAAGGCCAGAGTGACTTTGATCTGAAAGCTCATTAAAAAGCACACAGGTCAGAATTAACAGGGCTGGGCATCTGGAGATCTCTGCAGACATTTCCTGCAAATGTTTTCTTTGCAGGGAGATCTGAGAAGCTTTCTAAGATAAGTCAAATGAATGTCCCATCCTTCCTCCGTGGAGGCCCGCAAGAGCAAGTTCACCAGCCACGAGAACGTTTTTACCTGCGAGTCCCCCTCCCACCCAATCAAACACGGACAGGGTGGTACCAGAGGGTAAGGGTTAAAATCCTGTTCATTTAATTATTGTTCTACCACATTTATTACAAAACACTGGTAGCATTTTTGGTAATACTTTTGGTAAATTCACGCTCATAACTTGTGGCATTTTTTAACTTAACTCACATTTGTTCTATTTTCCCATATTGTTATGTCCATACCCCAACGGAAGAAATGAAATTATTTATAAGTATGTTGTTCTAAAATAGACTCTTTCAAAACTACAGGATAACCCACAAAAGTAGGGAAAACTCAACGGAGGGCAATGCGAATACCTGACTTAAGAAGGAAGGAGACGAGTAAAAGGCCCTGGCCCATGTGGCTCGGTTGGTGGGCATCGTCCTGTGCACCAGAAGGTGGCCAGTTCAATTCCCTGTCAGGGCATGTGCCTGGGCTGTGGGCTCAACGCCGGTAGAGGCCATGCAGGAGGCAGCAAATAAATGTGTCTCTCACATGTCAATGTTTCTCTCCCTCTCCCTTCCTCTAAAAATCAATTAAAAAAATACTTAAAAAAAAAAGAAAAGAAAAGAAGAGGACTAGTAAGAGGAAAAGGAGAGGATGAAGCAACTGCTGTGTAAGGTTTGGCACCCTCTCCACAGCAAGGACGAAAATCTCTGGGATCCCCACAAGCTGCCTGCCGGCTCTACAACCTGAAGAGACCACGGCCGTCTAAGACAGTGCCCCGGCCCATCCCTCAAATGATCTTGCAAAAGTCGGGGTGAATCACAAGACATGAGAGATGAGGGGTCTGTGTGAGTCGGTGAGCCCCTCCCCCAAAACCGAAGCCAAGGAGAGGGAACTCCTGTTGCCTGGGGTGGGGGGTGGGGTGGGGGCATTGTTCTATTGTAATTGGAACCATTAACTACTCATATTCAGAACATTTAAACGTTAATAGACTTAAAACATAATATTACCCCAGATTATGCTGACTGGGCCATTTTCATAACCTCTGAGTTTTGTCTACATTGGATCATTCAACAAATGAGGATGTTACATATTTTACAGAAACATGTGTGAATGAATGATTCAAACAGAATACAAACACTGAGGTTACTTAGAAGAAAGGAAACCCTTACCACTGAGAAGTGATGTTTCCCTGATTCTGGTGACCCACGTCCCTACACAGTCGCCAGGGGAGCGAAGTGGCCACAATGTCAGCAGCATCCACTGCAAATGTTCTCTGTTTTGCTGACGCTGGCCAACTTCACGAACGCCCTGGCATTTCCACACTAATGCTCACTGCTGTTTCAGGTCACTTCCTCCCACCATTTTGCATTTGATTTAGGTAATCCATAACAGATATCCTTAATTAACCCCTTCAATCGTATCTATATACACTGTATAAGCTTCAAAATGAAGCTCGCCAGTGCCCGGGGGGAGAGTGCAGGGGCTGCTGGGGGCTGGCAAGGGCCCCTGCTTGACCTGGGTCATGAATTTGAGACCATTTTTAAAGCCAATCCCTTAGGTACACTTTCATGTATGTATTTCCATCCTTCAATTTAAATGTAAGCAACAAGCAAAGTGAGTTAGACATTCACTATCTCCACACATTTTAAAGTTTCCATCGGATAGATGGCAAATGGCACCCTTTAATTAGTGGTAAATCTGAGACTCGGCTCCCAAATCAGACCTCATTAAACCCTGGCGTGGTGCCCATCCTGCTTCGCTTTGCTTTCCCATCACTCCCACTAGGAGGGAAAGAACAGGCCCGGCTACACCAGGAAGCAGGCCCGCCCCACACGGTGCCCTGGCCTCTTCCCCCCTTCACATCTGACGCTGAGCCAGGCCACAGATGCGAACAACAAGGCACAGGGGACCACAGCAGGCGGACTGCATGCTCCCCTCCCTCCCCCCCCAGGGACACTGCCTAGGGGCCAGGAGACACCCTATCTCCCAGCCAGCATCCCCACGAGATCCTAGCACATCCAGGACAGGGACCATGTGTCCCTTTCTCTGACCTCTCACTCTCTCCATGATCCTTGAAGTTTATTTGGGGAACAGATAAAAGAGGCCCAGGAGGGGCTCAGCCAATGCCGGCTAAACTCCATTTTCACAATCTGCCTTCACGGAAGCAGCTGGACTGTCCCCGATGTCCCTCCCCCTCTCCTGACCTCCTCAGCCTGGACACAGCCCGCATCACCAAGGTCACTGGTGATGGCTGGGAGGGGGCACCTTACCTGACCGCTGGGCAGCAGTGGGCATCGCTGCAGGTGCCCTGCTGTCCCGCCTCCCTCCTTTCTCGGCCCCCACATTCCTGTTTCCTCCCCCACCTACAGCTCCTCCTCCTCCTTCCCTGGCTCTTCCCTGTGGGGGACTCTGGGCTTCCCTCTCTCACCGTGTTTGATCTCCATGCCCTCCCCCGCAGCCTCTCCACCTCAATGTCCACGGCTGCACGTCCACCCAACAGCCTGGGCTCCCTGCATTCTAGAACCGCGTCTCCGAGCACCACTCGCAGCTCCCGGGCAGAGGGAGGGAGACGATTCTCAACGTCCACAGGGCCCAGCCCGAGCCTCCCTTGGCCACCAGACCTGCTTCTCCAGATTCCCCCTCCACTGACTAGCCTCCCCCGTCACACACTCAGTAGGAGACATGACGGATGGTAGAGGCTACCACCAGAATCTCTCTCAAGTTCATCATCACGGCCACTGCCTCCACCCAAGACCTCATCTTTCCGTGCTGGTTACCAAAAGCAGTCCAGTCCCCTCCACGGCCGCCCAAAGGAACGTGCTGCAGGTGGCCTTTTATACGGCCAATCGTCCTGCTTACAGTCTAACAGCCCCCCATCCTGCAGAGGCCCTGAACCTCCTCACACAAGGGGCGCCCCTGGTTGCGAGGTGAGTGCTTTGCCTTCCACGCAGTGGGATGCCCACAACCCTGACACTCCTGCCCATCACAGGTCCTCCTGCACACGGGAGGGGCGACACGCCCAGCGGGCGTGGGAGGAGCGGCCTATCCCTTCCCAGTGCCCGCAGCTCCGGGGACAGCGTGGGCTCCTCAAGGCCCGCGAACCTCTGGGGACCCTGGTTCCACTACAGCAGCGGTTCTCAACCTGTGGGTCGCGATCCCTTTGGCGGTCGAACGACCCTTTCACAGGAGTCGCCTAAGACCATCCTGCATATCAGATACTTACATTACGATTCATAACAGGAGCAACATTACA